CCCCCCCAAAAACCCCCCAACAGAAAGGAAAGAAAATGTCTATCTGTATTTTTATTATGTAGACATTAATGCAGTTAGGTTCGTATTGATTAGTTAACCAAGTGGAACCATTGTGGCTGTGAGTTGACATGCAAAGTGTTTTTCAAGTTAAATTGTCCGCGAGTCGGCGTAAGTACTCCCTTGCCAGAAAGCATTACCAACCAATATGAATACAGGGAACATCAAGTGAATATTAAAAGAGGAATGGTGACAGATTGTCAAATTTTAGAAAGAGTGTTAGCAATAATACAAAGGGAATTTTGGGGGTACAGCTGACTCCAGCCTAAGGACAAGTAGTTTGCCTGTAGGCGAGGTAACAGGAATTACTTCGACAGTTTGTCGAACTGATCATTATAACGTGTAAAGGCAACTAGCTTATACTTCGTAGAAAGTAAAATCAGTTCACCCATGTAAGGCAGTATCCTTTTCTAGAGCTTGATATGGGATCAATTACTCTATCAACGTCATTCCAGAGGTATTTTTCATTTTAAAGATGGAGAATGCAAAGCTCTATCTAGCAATGCATCAGCTTAACAAGCTAAACTTCCGACAAGCAAGCCATAAACCGTTTGCGACGCCGTTCCCACGTTTACATTTGCCATTTTCAGTGCAACCTCCTAAGAAGAAAAGAAAATTGAAAAGAAGAGAAGAGTATTGGAAAAATTGAAGCAGGATAGATAGAAAAATCCACTTGCTCAGATAGTAAAAAAAGGCATCACATACAACATAGAACGTACAAACCAATTCCCAAGACCTCAGAAAGAAATATAGATGGCCTGCTTTACCATTAAATAAGTCTTTAAAGCATGAAACAGATATTCAGACCAACCCTACAATTATACAACTGTGTACAATGAAAAGCTCGATGGATGAGATGAGCCAGAACAGACTGAATGAAGATGATCACTTGGCAAGTCGAAGGATTTTCCTAGTGAGATCTTCAGCATCCTGTCTGTTGGCGCCCATTGATTGACCAAAGAGCATGAGCTCTCTGTGCATAGCACTCAAATGGGCACAAAGCAGTAAAACCAAGTAGCATGAACTGATCCAGTGGAAACAAACCATTTATCTGGAATATTGTAGATATTCATTTAGCAATGACTTAAAGTAATTCCTTAGATCCATTTCAATTGATCAGATAACAGAAATGTTTCAGTCCCTGTATCTACGCTTCTCTCTCTTAGCTTCTCTACGTTCTTTTTCTGAACCACCATGACGAGAATGTCTACTAGGACTCCTAGAGTCTCTCCTTCTATGCTTATGGTGCTTTGAGTGCCTTCTACTACTCTTTTCCTGAGATGATTTTTTCTTTCGTGACCTTGAACGATGACGGTCTTTATAATCTTCGGATGAATGAGAAGAGGCATCCCCATCTGGACTGCTGCTTCTGTGAGCTCGCCTGCGCTTTCTATCAATTTCATCTTCTGATGAACTGCTGCTCTTATTTTGGTGCTGATCTCCTTTTGCTTTTGCATGTATATGTGCTTGAGTTTCCTTTTCAAACCTATTTTTTTCTACATCATCCCTGTATTTTTCAGTTACACTTCCTCCGCGACCATTTCTCTGAGAGTTGATATCTATAGTTCCTTCTCTACTAGATCTACCTTCTCGAGAGACGTTCTGATTACTATTTCCTACTGCCAATACTGGATCTGACAAATCCGCACCAACAGTGTGGGAAGTGGATGATGTACCATTACCAGTTTGGTTGATGCTCTTTGCTCCCAGATATACCGGAACAGCATCCTTTTTAGCTGGGTTACTGGTTTTGTTTTCTGGCAAAGGCATATCGACAGGAACCTCCAAACCTAGTTCTTTGCCCAATGATTCTAAGAAGTCACCAGCTATTAAGCGATTTAAAGTTGTATTAGCAGCTTCAACCTTCTTTTGAGGATACTCTGCAACATTCTGATTGCTAGTTTCTGCTTCATCATCCGAATCATCAGAGAATATAGCCTACAGAGAAATATTGAACAATACGATAGGCTGTAAGTTTATGCAAAGGAGACAAAGCACACTAGGTAAATGAATTCATACTACTCGCTCATCAGCAGCTTGATCTTACAATCTCTAAGAAAAGCACCCAACCCCATCCCATCACACACCAGGGAACAAAGCACATTAGATAATTGAATTCACACTACTCGCTCATTAGCAGATTGATCTTAAAAACTCTAAGAAAACCACCCAGCCCCATCCCACTCCAACAGAAGGGGAAAAAAAAAAGAAAAAAAAAAGAAGAAGAAACATATCTGCTAGAAACAACAGTAATGCAGTTGCAAATTGAACTACTTTTTAAAATAATCAATATCAGCAAAAAAACATCCTTCTTCAGGCAATGCACTAGGAACTGAACCAACTAATCCTAGCATTAGCTAAGTTCATGAGATTTCCAACTTGATCCACAAAGCAGGGAGGAATTCCTGAGAACAATAGCTCCAATCAGAAAGCAATGGAATCCGCCACTCACCCATTCGTGGAACTAGAAATTGAGAAGAAAATAAGCCATCCCAACCCTTCTTCAAACAAAAAAAAATGAGAGAAGAAACATTCCACACTTCCATCCCTTTTGACCTCCGTAAAAGTACCACCTATCCCTTTTGACCTCCCTAAAAAAACTAAGTAATCGTAAGCACTAGTCTTTTTAACCTAATCTAAAAGCACTAGTTTCTAACCTCGTGTTTGTAACCTCGAGGTTACGATCTATCACATACATCTGATATACAACCTCATCAAGGAGCAAATAGAAGCAGCTTATTGCAGATATATTATCGTTGTCCCAATAGCAAAATCAGTATTGTGAATATCCCAAATAAGAGAGAACTTAGCAAGAATACTCTCCTTTCAATAAGGAACTACAGTATACTTTAACAACTGATCTGGACAAGAAGACTAAATACCTTGTACAAATCAACAGGCCTTTCAACATTTTCTGGTTCTGTCTCAACCTCAATTTCCTGGTCAACCATTTGTTTTCCTTCTTTACGGCCCTCCTGGACTCGGAGAGCGGATTCGCTCCTATCCCCAGAAACATCATCTTCAAGCTTTGCAGCTTTAACAGAATCAGGCAAAAATACAAGTGAGTCCAATTTGCTCCTCGAGCGTGGAGCTGGGGGTGGCTGCATAATTCAAGATAGAGCTCAGTCAACTTTGATGATACATGGCGAAAGAATTAAATAAAGATGTATTGAATGACTTCATAATTAGATAATAACAACTCACCTATTTATATATATCTAAACAATATGTCAAACAAGGACAATATCAAATTTAAAAACTAACACTTCTAACATTCTAACACTATCACTTAACAATCTAACACGCTCACATTAATCTTAACATTGTAAGATGCCCCTCAACCTCAAGGCGGGATACCAAATTGAGTTTGCTCATTCTGCAACCTCAATAAATTAAACCCTTGAGAGAATAACAGAGTAGCCAGTATTTCAAAAAAGCTGCTCGAAAAGTTGTCAGACAAAGGCAGGAAGAGCTGCCGAAAGAATAGGAGGAATTGTGGATGGAGAGAGTGTGACTGGAAAGATCACCAGAACAGAAAATATAAGAGGTGCTGAATGCAAATATAGCAATGACTTTTTTTTAATTGATATAAAAAGGGACTTTTCGTTTTCAAGAGCTGAAGAAAAAGTTAAAAAATTAAAAAAGGCCACATACAAATAAGGTGAATTCTCCCTGGAAATTTGACTCCCTTAATCTTGCCATATCCATCAAAAAGCAATAATTTACTAGGAGCCAACTAGGTATCTACGGATAACAAGGAGACCCCTTTATCTTCGCAAGTTATAATTACAGCCTACATCACAAGCAAAAGCCTAAATATATCAAATCCAGTAAATTCCATGTGAATAACCTAATTCTATTTGGATCACTTAAGAAATCACAAAATTCCTACACTCAAGATTCAAGAATGTTTACCGTGACAATCAATTACAGTTAAAAAAAAAAGGAAGGAAAACAACCCGTATCACAATCATCTGTCAACTGTCCTCTCATCTACCAGAACCAACCTCACTGCTAGCGTGCAGATGTGCTTAACTCATTAGCGAATTAGTAGGTACATGTGTTGGTGGGAGGTATCAGATACCGCGTGGATTAATCGTCCCGGACACCACGGTTTTAAATATATTAAAAAAAAGGGCTTTCCTGGGAAAACACATGAAGCCCAACTGAACTTTCATTAAAAGAAAAAGTTGATGACTTCAACAACTGCAATTTCTTCAGGAGATACCAGTGCCCAGCCAAAGTACAGGGGTGGAGTTTGATAGATTGACACATAACAATCATGATATATACACTAATTGTTGGTACCTTGCCCATATAAGGGTCATTAAGATCAAAGCGCTTGCAAAGAAGAGGTGAAGGTCGCCACTGGAATTTCTCCCGTTTTGGATACATTTTTGCTGCCGCTAAACCATCATCTTTACCAAATTTAGGTAGCTGCAACAGACAGCAGTTAAAATCAGGACAAACTGCTAACTTCAAACCATTCACTCAGAAGTTAGATAGTGTACGTGCCTCAGCTCCAGATGTGAATTGCAGTCCTGCAGTAGCTAACGTACTTGAGAAAAACTCATTAGGCGGAACACTTTCCTTTCCCAATTTTCCTTTATTTATTGCCTCGGCTACAGATTCAAATTCTAACCTTTCACGAGCACGGGCAGCTTCTGTCATATTACTTGCTCCACCACCATCTTTAGGGCGAAGACCTCCGTGGTATTTTTCCTTCAGAAACTGCTCGAACCTTTCTTGCTTAGCAGGATCATCTCGGAAAGGCTTTGCAG